AGGATATTGAAATAAGTAAAATTGAAATTATAAAAAAAGATATTTAAATAAGTAAAATTGAAATTATATATATATAAAAAAAGATATTGAAATAAGTAAAATTGAAATTAAAAAAGAAAAGATATTGAAATAAGTAAAATTGAAATTAAAAAAAATATTGAAATAAGTAAAAATGAGATTATAAAAAAAATATTAAATAAGTAAAATTGAAATTATAAAAAAATATTGAAATAAGTAAATTGAAATTATATAAAAAAAAATTTAAAAAAAAAAAAAATACACTGCTTGAACGCCCAGACCGGGCGCCCATACGGTAACCGAACGCCCAAACCGGGCGTTCACCAGTATTTTGCACGCCCAAACCGGGCGTGAAAAATGCTGGTGAACGCCCGGTTTGGGCGTTCATTGTGCGCAATTTCCCCCAAAAAACAGCCCTAAAATTCGATTTTTAAGGCTGTTTAACATGCAATTACAATCGAATTTTCCTACCCAATGCAATTAAAACGTTTAGGAGTTGAAAATTTCGATGAATTTGGCTTGATTTGGCTTCAATTCTATTTTTTTAAATTTTTTGATTTTGTTTTTTTGAATTTTTCTTTTTTTTAGAGAGAGAGAAAGCTTTTTGGGGTATGAATTGCAAATAGCAATTTTCAAACCCCAAAAAGCATTTCACAAAAACAATTACCCACTTCCTCCTTTAAATAAATATTTTCTAGACTACATATGTTTTTAAATGGTGCGCGATGTTCTTGCATGCCATTCATCAATGACAATAATTCATATTTAACGAGCTATTATTTCTCAATACGCGTTAACAAATTTGAAATACGGCTAAATGGTAAATAAGGTTAAACTGGCAAATACAACGAGATTCCGACATTGACTTTTTTTTTTTTGAAACTTTTTTTTTAAATAAGGTTTTTGAAAAAAGGTTAACGCCGAAATCTGGCCGGAATTTTTTTTTCAGAATCTAAAAAAGAATTAAAAATTATAAATATGGGTGTTAATGTGATATATTTGATCAAGTACGGTGTCAATGTGCAATATGGATAAAGTTAGAGTGCAATTGATTAAATTAATGAAAAGTATATTATAGATGATATTTTAGACAAAAAACTTGGGATGAGTTTATTTGCAAAAAAAAAAAAATTGTGTATTTAATTGCCGTGCAATGAGTTTATTTATCGTTTGTCCTATATGCACCACCCTCAAAATATTTTATTTCACCACTAAATTAAATATATTTTCAACTTTACCAATTTTTTCTTCTTTCACCTATACTTTTTACAAATTTATAAACCATGCATCTACCACTAAACTAATTAAAATATTTATAAAAAAAAAGGGCGAATGGCAAAAAGGCCCATCACATTGGACTTAAATGCACATTGGTCCACAAAAAAACAGTCTCTCAAAGAAACCCATCCCCAAGTCTTTAGTCCAAAATACCCTCCATAATATAATTCTTATCAATTCCATCCCTTATGCTAGGGCTGGGACTGGGTTGGGTCGGTTGATTACCAGCCTACAAACAGATCCATCCGTCAAACCATTTTTGCTCAAATTTGAAAACTGTTGCCGACCCAACCTTTGTGGGTCGGTTGATGGTTGGCAACCGAATATTTGGTTTCGGAATGGGTCGGTTGATGGTTTATACCCGCCACCTAGTTCACTTAAAAAAAATTCAAAATTTGGAGTAAAAGTATCCACATTTTGCGTAATGCCACGGTGCGATCATCATTTATCAGTTCAAAATAATTAATAACAATTTAACAAAAAAAATAATTTGGAAATTCAAAGTAATTTATATTTAGTGGAGTTTTACGGGCTTTTTGTTTAAGGTTGAACATAAAGAAACTGGTTGAAGATATAGGTCAAATTCTTTTCCTTTGTTGATTGTTTAAAAATTTAAAATACTAATTATTTTTATAATTTCAATAACCACTTAAGATAATACGGCCTTTATTTTATATTTTCAATAAAATTTTAATAGTATAGTTGGATAACAGATAATTATCGGTCAACCAACTTTTGATAATATTAGAAACCACCAACCGACCCATTATAAATGGGTTGGTTGAAATTTTCGACCCGATCCAATGTGTCGGTTAAAAATTGATTATCCGCCTAAAAATAAGGTCGGTAATGGACCGGTTAGTGGATAAAAACCAACCCAGTCCCAGCCCTACCTTATGCTTTAACTTCCTTAATATTACACATTGACCCCGGATTTAAAAAAATATATCACATTAACCCTCAAAATAATAATTTTTTGAATTTTTTTTTCAGAAAATAATTTTTTTTTCGGCCAGATTCCGGCGTTGACTTTTTTTTTTTTTTTTGAAAACTTTTTTTTTTCTGAAATTTTTTTCCAACCGGTCAACCACTGTTGACCGCCGGTCTCCGGCGTTGATTTTTTTTTTCTTTTTTCGAATTTTTTTTCTTAGAATAAAATATTTTAATTAATATTACTGTCTTGGCAACTAAATTACTGTCTCAGACAGTAATATTACTGTTTGGGACAGTAATATTAGGAATATTATTTTCCCGAACAGTAATATTATTAATATTACTGTCTAAGACAGTTAAATTACTGTTGGAGACAGTAATTTAGCAGCTAAGGCAGTAATATTAATCAAAATAATTTTTTTTTTAAATTAAAAAAAAAAAGTCAATTAACAGTTAAACTACTGTCTCCAACAGTTAAATAACTGCTGGAGACAATAATTTAGCAGCCAAGACAGTAATATTAATTAATTTTTTTAAGAATAAAAAAGTCAATTAACAGTTAAATTACTGTCTCCGACAGTTAAAAAACTGCTGGAGACAGTAATTTAGCAATGAATACAATAATATTAATTAAAATATTTTTGAAGACAAAAAAAAAGTCCATTAACAGTTAAATTACTGTCTCCGACAGTTAAATAACTGTTGGAGACAGTAATTTAGTAGCCACGACAATAATATTAATTAAAATATTTTTTTAAGAAAAAAAAAATTATAACAAAAAAAAAAAAGTCAACGCCGGAGGTCCGGCGGTCAATGGCGGTTGACCTACCGGAAAAAAATAAAAATAAAAGAAATTTCAAAAAAAAAATAAAGAGAGAGAGAGAGAGAGAGAGAGAGAGAGAGAGAGAGAGAGAGAGAGAGAGAGAGAGAGAGAGAGAGAGATAGAGAGAGAGAGAGAGAGAAAGTCAACGCCGGAGGTCTCCGGTGGTGGCGGGTCAAAATTGGGGTCAAAATTGTAATTGGGGTTAAAATTGGTTAATTGATTAAAATTGGGCTAAATTGGGGTGTAAATCATGAAATTGGAGTTGAATTGTGTTACAATGAATTGGGGGTCATTTTGGTATATATAAAAGGATTTTCTTTATTTACAAATAAGTTTGAATGAACTGGATTTATTTGAAAGACAAAAAAGTTGGATGTCCTTTTAATTAAGTGCCTTTATCATGGGCCTATTTGCCATTTCCCCTAAAAAAAATCCCACATTTTTCAATGGAAATCTCGCCCTCTTCAGCTTAAGTGAATAATACTTTCGTCATAGAAAAACATTTTCGAAGGTCAAAAAGAGCAGGAATTCTCGTTTTTGGAGAAATAAATTAAGATTGCTTATATGGAAGGTCCTGAACTTCTTCCAGAGTCGGCCATTTTGGCTTAATATAATTTCGTTTCCTTCAAAAAAAAATTATATAATTTGTTGGTCATTAGATATAGAAGTTTAAATATCTTGTAATAAATATTTCATTGTAAAAATTAATAAAAAAAATTAATAAAAATATTAAAAAATATTAAAAAATTTAAAAATTGATAAAATAAAATAAAATATAAATAACGTAGAACATATGAGGATGAAGTGAATATAAAAAAGGATGGTGGATTATAAATTTGAGGGATATTTATGACATTTTATAATTTTTGGTGATGAATTGAGATAATTGGTGGTGGAAATAGCACCCCTACTAACCAATGAAATATAGAGTATTTTGAAATTGGAAGCCTTAACTAATTCAATATGCCAATACAACGCCGCCGTTCTTACTCATCCATGGCGTCCATTATGATTCCCTCGACCTAGGGTTTATCCTTCCACCAAATATTAATACTTCGAATCAAACATGAAATTCACCAAGCAAAAATATCCCCAAAATGGAGGTAGAACTCTTAAAAAACCTGCCGTCGGAGATCGTAATCGAAATTCTTTCAAGGCTTCCAATTCGAACAATCGGAATCATTTATAATATTATCTTCATCGACGAATCTGGTAGTGGTGGCGTTATCTGACATGTCATTGTTGTTATTGAGTTTCTCAAAATCTGAAATGTTGTCTTCTTCATCGCTTGAATCTGACAACTTAGTTCAAGAAAAAAAATTCAAATAAAAAAACGAAAAAGTCAACACCGAAAATTGGCGGCGGAAAAATTAGGAAGAAAAAAAAAAAGTCAGGAGACCGGCGGCGACGGACAAAACTGTCCATGAAATTGTATTTTGGATCAAAATTGAATAATTTGTGAAATTTGGGGTCAAATTGAGGTTATATTAAATTAAATGATGAAATTTGAGAATATTAAAATGTGATGGGCTATTTTAGCCTTTTACAAACCTCTGGACCATGTGTTGACTTTTTCGTAAAAGAGTTTATTGTTTAGACCCCTTTATAAATAACTACCCATTGATTTGCTTATTTGTAAAGTGTCCCACCTTAAAATGGTTATTAAATGTTCAATGAAACTTGATAGAGTAACTTGTGAATAATTTGTCTTAGTTAAATACTTACCAATAATAAAAATTTACAATTGCGTAAAAATAATGGACTTGTTGTGGTAAAATTCGGTATATTTGTTATAACATAGTAAACATTTTTTCTAAAACAAACTATTAGAGATGGTCCAAGTAATTTCTGAATTAGCTTTGATCGAATTAGCAACTTCAGTAAATGCGCTTATTATTTAGTTCAAATTCTTCACTCCATTTTTCATGTTTCCCCCAAAACATTTGGATCATGAAAGGCATGCAAATTATACACCCAATTCAAGTAGTTACGTACCTATATATAATAAAATATTGAAATAGCACCATAAAGTAATTAATTAATTAATTAATGATTAATTATGTTTTTGATCGATCAGGTGCCCAGGCCTCCATTATTATTATTATTATTAGCGTCGAAAAGTGTGGATCCGTCACTAACGCCTTCCATAAGAGCAAATCTCATATCCTCAGATGGTCTCCAGTGCCTTTTCCTCTGGTTAATGAACCAATTGTTTATTTGCTTCTGGTCCAATCCTGTCATTTCTGACAACCTGTTTTTCTCCTCTTCCTGCACACCATACACATTATTTATTTATTATCAAAAAAAAAAAAAAAATACACATTATTTATTTATTGCAATTTAATCCTATTAATTCATTAAATAATTAATTACACAACAGCCCACATATTATATCAAATTGCCCACAAGCCCCTCCACCACATTTTCTTGTTTAATTTGACACATAGTATGCGGGAAAAAGAAAAAAAAAAAAAAAAAAAAAAAGAGGGAAGTGTGTCTATAAAGTAACAATACAAAAGGGTTCACTCTGAATATATATATATATTCATACACTATCTTTGGTTATATATATATATATATATATATATATATATATATATATATATATATATATACCAATGGAGACTGGAAAACAGTATAAGATACTCCCTCCGTTATCTTTAAGCTGTCGTTTTTTAGCTTTGCCCAAAAATTAAAGAAAGATTAAAGGAAAACGTATGTTTTTAGACTAAAATGACATTGCCTTCTAATTCATAAGACAGAGAAATGAGTAAGAAAAGAGTGTTGGAAAGAGTTAATAAGAGTATAAATTGAAAATTAAGTAATTAATGCAATATTAGAAACTCAAAGTGACGAATAATAACGAACAAAAAAAATTCTCATGTGATAAATATTATGGAACGGAAAGAGTATTAAAAAACCATAAATAAATAGACATGTTAAAATTTTAGCTTTTGAGACTTTTGCTTTGCTCAATGAAAATGTTAAGTAAAAAGATGGAATAATTAAGTAAACTAGATTTCCTATTTGGTTCATAGATAAGGTAAAATAATATTGTGTGACTAAAACAAGATAAAACAAGAAAAATAAATTAATATGTATTCTTCAATTATAATTCCTCTCCACCCAAGAAAACACACAATTTGGACCAGTTCAACTGACAAAACCTCAACAAACACGTCTGCCTGGCAAAGAAAATGATTTACTTTCGAATTTTCATTTCCCGCATTTCTAAAATCCATATGAACCAATGAGAGCCTAATTAAAGAAAGTTTTTAGTGTGAGAAGCTCGTTGAAAACGAGTCTGTTTATGAAGGAGAGTTAGATGATACACCTGGTTATTTACACTGGATAAGTGTTAACCCGTAGTCCGCAGATAAGGTTAAATAACCTTCAACTAAGCATATACGTACACATGGGTGTGTATGTGATCGATTATTTAAAGATCTACGGTTAACACTCACCTAGTGTAAATAACCAGATTGTTGCATCTAATTTTCCCATTTAAGAATTGGCCTACAATCATAATGAAAATTCCAAAAAAAAAAAAGAAAAGAAAAATAGACATATTTACGTACCGTGGGATAGGGCCATCTATAATGTGTGTTCCACCAGTCGAGCAGGGCGGTTAGAGCATCCTTTGGTAGTTTACCTTTCTTCCTTTTCTTCAGAAACTCCTTCTTCAAAGTGCTCAGATAGCCGCTGTATTTCCTCATTAGCATCTCTTTTAGCTCCTTGTTATTATTAGTATTATTATCACCTTCATTACTATTATTATTACTATTGTATTCAACCCCTTCCAAATTCATCATATTCTCCTCCGATAACACGCCAACTTCATCTGATCATTAACAACACATACATTATATATCTACTTGATATGTATGTATGTTTATAGTAAAAATTCAAGTATTAAATATTGTCACCAAATATAAGCAATCCATAACATTTATTTTGTTTTGTCACTACTATTAATTATATATAGTCATGTCACTAAAACTAATATTTCGGTAAGTGTTTCATCATTCTTGTGATAGTTCATATTAGAGAGAGAGAGAGAGAGAGAGAGAGAGAGAGAGAGAGAGGGGTGCTGAAAGTTGCTAGCTGTAGAGCTTAAGCAAGAAGACATGTCATATAAAAAGTCAACCCTTAATTTGCAAGAGTAGTTGTAATTGTAAATCATGTAAGAATTCAGATAACCAAACGAGAAAAAAAAACCGTAATGAAATACACAGGTAGTTTTACATGCGAACTCTTCGAAATCCCATAATAATAAATTAACTAATTAATGAAGACACAAACATAGATCCAACAGTTTGTTGGAATTATTTCTATTTATATTTTCCTTTTTGAAAGTGCACAGTGAAATAAGAAAGTGAAAAAGTTCATAAAAAAAAAAAAAAATTGAATTAAAAGAAAAAAAAGAAATTACCAGAATGAAAAGGATGGGTGGAGGATGGTAGGGTTTGATTACAAAGAAGAGTGAGCTGAGATTCAATTATGCTCAAGAAATTTGTCGCCTCGTCAAATGGCTTTGACAGTTCCTCCTTATATTTCTGTAGAACTTCACAGTACGATCTCTTCTCACACACCATACATACATACATGTATTTATACGTTGGTCACAAAAACAAAAACAACATATTATTAATTATTATTTCAACTATATTGTTATACAGTAATAATAATAATAAAACAAAACAAAATATATTGATTTCAACAACTGTTGAAACATTTACTGCATATAATAAATGCATTTCGTACTTTATTAAATTAATTTATTTACCATGAAGTCATCAAGTTGAGGATCTGCTCCAATTATCTGATGATGAGTAGTTGTGTGGTTGTTTTCTGTGTTGATTTCTTCAAGTAGTGAAGCCATTTCTTCAGGTGCTCCCACCTTCACACCACACCATACCCATTTTAGTAACTTCCCCCACCCCCCACCTTTTCACACACTAACACACACCCACACCCCACACACACTAATCATACATACATATACATATATATATCATGACACAAAAAAAAAAAAAAAAAAACAAAAGGTAAACAATGAGCTAGCAGTAGTTGAAGATAATGAACAATTTGTTTTATGAGACCTTTCTGCAGTCGATGTAGGCGGAGAGTAATTCGGGATAAAGAGGGTGATTAGCGATCTGGGCCTTGATTAAATCCGACATCTCCGCCAAACCCGTCGTCGTCGTCGCAACTTCATGATCTGCTGCTGTTAGAACCATTATCTCCGGATTGTTATTACTATGAGGATTAATGTAATAATGATCGCTAAAACCAGCGATATTATTACTATTACTATTATTATTATTACTGTTGCTGCTCGTGTTGCTCCCATCTCCGAGAAAATTACTGTTGATAGAGGAATGGAACCTGTATAGCTCATCCATCTCAGCTTAATACAGTTTTTTTGCAGAAGCATATATGTGAGCACAAGAAAATTAAAGCAGCAGCAATTGTTTTCTTGATGAAAACACACACACACACACACACACACACACACACACACACACACACACACACACACACACCCGTACGTGTACTTTTGTGTGTGTGTGTGTCTCTATATTTTTTGAATGACCAAAACCCTCTGGTGTGTGTGAGGACAGCAAAATCTTGACCAGAAACAGTGATTCTTAGGTATTCGTTTTTTCACGATGAAAACAGTGATTTCTAGGACAAGGTATTTATTACCAAACGAGGGTCGACTATATGCATAGTTATCTGTATTTAATGTTTAGGCCCTAGATAAAATAACTGCGTGGGTTAAAAAATTTCAAGAATTACACACAGTGGATTGTTTTCTCGATGTTTGGTTTTGTTTCCCTTTCATTTTTACTTTTTCTTTTGAAAAATGAATTTGTGTTTATTAAGTTTTTGAAAAATAATTTTCACAAAAATTTTAAAAGTTTATCTCTCCTTCAATTCTAGTGACTACTACAATTAAAAAATGGGGAAATATGCAATCCCCCTAAGATGGAAAATATTATGTAAAAAACTGATCATTTGACTTTTTAGACTTTTTCCCACACCCATATCCCAATCTTAATTAGTGAGACCCCCTTATTAAGATAAGATAAGACATAATTACCTTTAACAACAATTTTTTTTCCCTTCTTCTTTGTCGTTCTCTCTCTCTCACGTGAAACTCTCTCTGTTCTCTCGTAATCTCTATTTTCTCTCTTTTTTTTTTTCCGTATTCTTCTTTGCAGATCTGCCGCTGCCGCTCGCATTTGAGATTTACACCAGCGTCGCCGCCCTCCTCCCTCTTTTTCACATCACCGCCATTATCCACTCACCCAACCACCGAGATCACTGCCGCCATCTAGGGTTGTGCCGTCATGTTGTCGCCTCCTACACATCACACCACCTTCCTTTCGTTATTTTCGATTTTTTCTTTTTTTTTTCTCTCCAGATCTGAAGCAGCAACATCAACGTGACTATAGTCTGGTTCGAATGTGACTATTCGATTTTTTTTTGCTACTTTCTATTTTCGTGTTCTTGGAAGCTTCTCATCAACTTAAGATGCCTTTTGGCATTTAAGGTTTTTTCCTTGTAACTGTGTGTGGTTTTGAATATTAGAGAGAGAGCCCATCATCATACTTGAGTTAGTGGAGTCGATATATATATATATATATATAATGATTTTTTATTAATTTTTTTATTTATGTATTTTTCGATTTCTCCTTCTTTTTTCTTTTTTTCCAGATCTGAAAATAGAGTTCAAATATGTACAGTAGCAGCAACATGACTATAGTCATATTTATGTATTTTTCGAATATGACTATTGTTGAATATGATTGTAGTCATATTCGAATATGTTCTATATTCTCGTTTCAAGTTGACTTGTAATAACAAGATTCAAATTGTGGTTTTTTGTGATTTTTTTGTGTGGATGTTGATTGCATTGTTTCCCTAAACAATAGGGAATCTTAGTTGTTTTATATAATTCGATAAACATCACTTTACCACACTATATAATCGGAATTTTGAAGTTAAAAATTTTAAAAAGTGCAATATAAAGAAAGAATATGACTACAGTTATATAGTCACATATAGTTATATTAGACTATAGTTTTATTCAACTATAGTCATATTCGGCGTAGTACACTTATCGAGGGAAAAAAATCAATTTTTCGTTTAAAAAAATTAAGAAAATATGCCTATAATCATATTCAACTATAGTCATATTCGGCGTAGTAAACTTGTCGGGAAAAATAATCAATTTTTCGTTTAAAAGAATTTAAGAAAATATTAAAAATATATGAAAAATTAAAAATAATTAAAAAAAAAAAAAAAAAAAAAAAACACTACATCTGCACGTGGGTTTTGATTTTGTATGTGAAGAAGTAATTTTTTTTTATTTGTTGGCTGATTTTATGGAGCATATTAAGGTGATTTTTTATTTTTTTAATTAGTTGGCTGATTTCAAGGAATTGGAATATTGAGTTGGAAAAAAATTGCTATTATTTTGGCATTATTTAAGGAAAGCAACGTGGATTATTGGGATGGATTATTGGGTAGGAGATTTTCTAATTTTAAAAGGGTAATATTGGAATTAATATTTATAGGGGTTTATCACAAAGAAAGATTTAAGGGTTGGACATATCACCATTTATTACTCATCCAAGGGGTTTATTGCTAAAGACCCCTTAAAAAATAGGGTCTATTAGATATAACCCCCTTAAACATTCAAATAATAGGGGTAGATCCAAATTTGAATTTGCCATTTTGATAAAAGCTCAAGCTTTTGTAATTACATAATTACCCTCAATCAAATCCCACAAATCCCGTTACTTTACCTTTTGAAATAATATCAAATCCCTTCCTATTTTCCCGTTAACACACTATCACCCCAAAACCCACTATCAAATAAACTGCAAAAACCTCCCAGAACCACTTCCCGGTACGGCCGATCGAAAGGGGAAGAAATCTGCACTGCCGTGAAACGACGATTTTCGTGGACTCCGAGCAAGCCGCCGTAGGTACGTCTTCATCGGTCGCTGCATCGCTATCGTCCATCGATTTGTTCATATGTTTTGGCTAAATCGACTATCACGTTTGTATAATTGCAGATCTGTTATAATCGCATACCGAATTCGAGCACTAAATCATTGATATTGCAACAATTGATGGGCAGGACATCCACCAGAAGTGATATCGTCGTTGGCCGCCGTCGCCGTCGCCGTCACTACTCCAATCTAGGGTTACTCAAATCTAGGATTACTCAAATCTAGGGTTTTGATAATTCTTCGGCCCATAGTTGATTAACGAGATGCATAGTCGAATTACATCTGTATTAATATACTATCCCATATCATTTAATAGACTATCCCACTGGTATAATTTTACTATGGATCTCGTTAATCGACTATGGGCCGAATAATCATCAAAACCCTAGATTTGAGAAGTGACGGCGGCGGATTTGTGTTTTAAAATTAATAGACTATCTCATATCTTTTAATAGACTATCCCATGTATCTAATTCGACTATGGGTTTAGTTAATTGACTATTGGAAAAATAATATTATATATGGAAACTGAATAATATGTTTGTTTGAAATACTAATCAATTAGGGTAATTTTTCTTAATATATGAAAACGATTAGGGTAAATAATAATATATATGAAAAAATAATAATATATATGGAAACTGAATAATATGTTTGTTTGAAATACTAATCAATTAGGGTAATTTTTCTTATATCATGTAATAGACTATCTTATTGATCTAATTCGACTATGGATCTCGTTAATCGACTATGGATCTCGTATTATTCAACCACATAGTATATTAATAATTACAATATATTACATTAATCTGCTATGATAGTATATTACGGTTATAGTAGTGATATGAAATTGTGTTACAAACAATATACCACTGAAATGACAAGAACATTGAGAACAACACCAACGTAAAGTATTCCACATAACCAATAAAATAGTACATTAATAATCTCATAATTTCAATCTAGGGTTTTGATAAAATACATAAAACACATAATAACACAATCAAACCAATATGTCGAGTTAAAAAACTCTAGTACATTAATAATCTCATAATAGTATAATAAAATGATAATGGTAGTATCATAGGGTATTCATAATAGTATACTACTGTATTACAACGGTTTAACACTTAACCGAAGTTACCGAGCCATTACATCGTAAACACCTCTTTATAGCAACCAACCCACCAAACCTCAACAAAATCCGTACGAAATTCGCCATCGAAAAAACCTAAAATAATGAAACAGAATTAAAAATGCAGAATACTAAAAAATGATTAAATAGACTGCAAATACATTTGAATGATAATACATTAATATCATCAAAAATAAACTTAAAATGCAAAATCCATACGCTAAATTAAAAAAGACTACGAACTATATTTTAATGTACTACCCAGCACACTTAAATCGGCTGTTGTAAACAAATAAACCAACTATCGATCGGGATAAAAACATGAACTCGACCACAGCGGACAATTATTCCGATTATTGCATAAACCAACTACGAAGCTCATATAAAACAACTCTGGTCCGATTTGCGTGAACCATCCTCTTCTAACTCTGTCAATCCTCTTCCAAACAAACATCATCGGCCAAAAAAAACAATATATATATATGACGGAATAATTTTGTTAAAAAACGTTCTACTTAATAGAATCAAGTATCAACACAACTCTTAAAAATTTCTAACCACCGTACACGACAATCATGGACATTGAGCAAAAAATAAAAACGAATAACGCATTCATACCCGCTTAACAACGTCCAACAACAAACGCTCAAAAATCGATCCTATTTCCACGACGGTGCAGAAATCTTCAAAGACGATAAAACCCGCTGGAACGATGAAGAGAACCTTCAAAAAATATTGTACACGATTTGATATAACGGCCAATGATCTCACGTAAATTTATTCCGTGATTTTAGGCAATGTATCAGCAAATCTCAAATCACGTATTAAAGGAAATAAATGCCGTTTAATAATAAAACAGAGGTATTAAAGGGAAATTATATAATATATTTTGCCAAGTTGGCGAAATTGGGTGTATCTCAAAAAGGGGAAAAAAAATTGGATCTACCTCATTAGAAAATATGAACAAGGGGGTTTTCCCTAATAAACCCTAAAAAATAACTTCAGTAAAAAACAAACAAATATCATTTGATTTTTCTAAATTTTCTTCGACAATATGTTTTTTCAACACCTTTAAACATGATATAAATGCTACAACGTATTTTGTTTCGTCTCAAATTATAGACAAACATTACTTTTATTATCAATTATTGTCTCAAAAATATTTTCCTAAAATGACATTAAAATAACTCCCCGAACGACTCCAAATATTGCATTTAATTACCTACCTCTCCCATCATGTTGATTTCATAGTTGACATTTTCCCACCTTAATAACAAAACACAGCTCCAACTTAGTTTGTTTATCACCTACTCTACAATTTTTTACTTGACCTAAAATCAACCACTCATATACCTAAGTCGCATTGACTCTAGATTTTTCTTATGAGCCGGTCCAGCCAATTGCTCTCTCAACTTTAATGATCACTTGGATAAGATGATATTTTTTTCAGGATGTGTATGGATGTTCCTTTGATTCCGCTACGGCACCGGTATTATCGGAGTACAAAGTACTACATCACTAGCATCTGGAATAACCCACAACTCTTGGATGAAAATTTGTATCCAAACAACTTCCTTTTGCAACATCTGATGTTGTGATATATTCAGCTTCAGTGGTGGAATT